GGAATGAATGGTTTATCGATTAATTTGCTCTTCTCGCACTCGTTGTACGCGAAAGCTGAGTAATTTGCTTCCACGGCGATGTAATTATCGTTTATTTTGAGAGGCTTACTTCAATGCTCCGGGGAAATATTCCTCGTTAAATTTATTTGCTGTGTAACCTTCCAAGGTAGGAAGATATTTGACAACAAACCAAAGTACCAGGTGTTTCGTGTACGACTAAACCGCAAGCCGTCGGGTGTACGGCCAATTAAACGAGGCTCTAATAATTTAACCGCGTGTCGTTGCCCTGCCCAGATTTAGCCGTGATAACGTTATAGCATTCGACCTCTTCTGTGCAGCCAACTCGATGTGACCACAGCCGTGAGGGGGGTCTCCGCTTTGGTTGCCATTGGCCACCGATCCCAACGGACGTTTTATGCTAACGTTATGGCTTACTAATAACAACTTGCTGTCACATTTTAGGAATGCTAATGGTCATACGCGGCCTCTGACCGACTCACGCGAAGCTAGTGCCAACACGTAACATCTTTTCGGCCGCGTGAAACAATTCACCCGAGTGCGAGAGTAAATCGAGTAATTGTTTCCTAACGAATATTCAGTCACCTTTACGCGAATTTTAATCGTGCGTTGTTCTGCCTTCTTTCGCGGTTTTCTAGTTTCAGACTATTCCGGCTGTTACTTCCGGATCGTGGAATAAAATGTCGAACGTTCTTTAAACGCGTCGATGGATTAATCAATTTAGTTTGCTCGACGAACAGTAAGACCTATGAATACTCTGTCGACATTGCCAAGCTTAGCGATAGTCCTTCAATAAGCGTCCATTCGATTAATCAGTGTCTTCTCGGGTCGATAGTACAGAATTGAGGAGATTAAAGTGATCCTCAAAATCGATGGTATTCTGCATAATGCCATAGACAAGATATAGTGTGGACCTAATTGCACTTCTTGTGTCGTCGGATTTCGAGATTTTTTTTAGCAAATTTTTGTACTCTGATTTTTCTCGTCGTATTTCGCGTCGTTTCATCAATTCCATTTCGTACATTTTTAATACACGTAGCGTATTTTCTTTGTCACGATCGATAATTTTAGTCGCGAAAACTTGCATTGTTTTGCAAAGATGATTCTCCGAAGAATAAAATCTACCGCGCTTGCTTTATCAATTATGTTTCGTTAAGCATTCTTCAGGCTTCTAGCAAACTTAAAGTACGCGTTGGAAGTTTCTTAAATCTAGCACGTAGTTCTTAGCTTGGTATTAACCTCTAAATAATAATTTTCGGGGAATAATACCAATTTCCAAGACCCACCGCGGGGAGGTGACTACGCACGGGTCTCATCTATAGTTCAAACTTCCTCAACAAAGAATTACCTGTTATCTCTCGGTTATCTCCACGTGCAATTTTAATAAGTATACATCTCGCAGATTCGACAGTTTTGCTCTGCAAGTTTGTGCTTAAATTCGCATTCGTGGCTGTCCTTTTTTTTTTTTTTTTCTACTTCTTCCTTTCTTCTCTCTTTGTCCATTTCGTTTTGCATTTCTGCGGATATCCCATTTCAAACGTGTTTCCCTCGATGCACGCGCGTTCAAAGAGCAAAGTGTTATTCCAGTAACGAGCGCGCACGAGGTTCTTTCCTTTTGGTTTACACGATGGCGACGCGTGCGAAAACTATTTTATGACATTCCAGGATTCTTGCAGAATTCTGTAACTGTGCATTTTCATACAACACCTGCCTCTGTTTTCTCCTCTCTCCTTTCCACCTCGCTCAAACGAATACATCTGGTTAGAGTTTGGTACTGGTCCTGGCGCGGCTTTATATTTTGCTCTCTTCACGCGTGACGTCATCACCGGAATACGTGAGTCGCTTTACGAACACGGCAGGACAACACGTAAAACCGTGGAAACCGTGGCATCAACGGGCGTAACGAGAACTACCCTACCTACTAAGCCACCGTGGGATTTCACTCCGAAAGAAGAAAACGGTCTAAGGGGAGATTTACCCAGGTTCACGAATAAATTTTTTTTTCCCCCAACGGAATCGGGAGAGATCGGGAGTGTCTGCCCCTTTGCACCGTTGACTCCGGTGAAATTCAATCTGGTGTCGATGAACGAACAAAGAAGAAGAAGAAGAAGAAGAAGAAGAAGAAGAAGAAGAAGAGAAAGAGGATGAAAAAAAAAGAAGAGGAGAGAAAAATTATCGCAAAGGATGCTTGCGTTTGCGACGATAGATCAAGTGGGCCGATGATCAAACTTGGCTAAGAGCTCGTTGAGGAATAATGTAGATCGCATCTCGTGTTCCCTCGGTGCGAAGATCAATCGAAGGTACGTGCTCAAAGCTCGTGGTTTAGCTTGCACGGGAAGTTGACGAAGTGAACGGAGATACGAAAGGGGGTGGGGGAGGGGGAGGGGGAGGGCGGAGGTTAGGTAAAACTTAAGAAAATGAATGGGTTTTAATATCGCGAGCTTTGCGAAACTAGAGGAAGTTGTAGTCTAGGACAGAAAATGCAGACTCGCTAAGCTTTACAGATTGTGGGTTCAAGACTCGGTCGAGTAAATCATGGGCGTCCTATGTCCGTCAGTTTGTACTTTAAGGCATGCTAGGACGCAGCTGCCACGTTACTCTGCCGGATCATCCCGAGGGATTAGCGATACTTCAATAAACTCCGCTACGTTCGCTCCCCGCCGTCGTTCCGACGAGTACTCTACAGCATGTGTGCATAAGCAGAGAGACGAGTTGATGAGGATAAAAAGAGGGAAAAAGATACCTCTCTCTATCTCCTAGTCGCGTTCTTTTTTCTTTTTTTTTTTCTTCCTTTTTTTTTTTCTTGTATCTCTCGATTTCGTCTCCGAGGAATCGTCGAATTTCGTCTCGCGCAGGAGAACTTTAAAACACGAATGAATTTTAGAATAAAGGATGGTTCTTCGATGCTAATCGCGTATATACGTTCGCGCGTGTTTACGTGTTTGCGTTGCGGGCGAGAATTATGTTCCTCCACGGAGAGACGTGTTAAACGGAACGGAAATGCAGAATTTTCGAAGTCGAGCAGAGTTCCCGCTTTGTTACTGCCTCTTGCTCGCCTAGAGTGAAGAAAGAGAGCCGGGATGAAAGGAGAAAGGCAAATCTCGCGTCAAATGCTGAAGATCGTGCATTCTACAAACGAAACTAATATTCAGCGTGCTAGGTTGACAAAAAAGGGAAGTGCGAAAGAAAGAGAGAATGGAGGAGAGAACAATTGGAAGACAATACCGAGCAGTTTCGAGAAATTCTGCAGCTCTCTGTGCAGCGAATTTATTGCATTGTCTTATTGCTCAAACTCGATACGGGCGAAAAAGGAAAAAAAGGAAAAAAAAAAAAAAAGAAAGAGAGGAGGACAGAATATTTGAAAGATCCTCGATCCTTGGTCCTTATTTTCTTCTTTGTTGCCTCGCTGGTTCGCTTTTGTAGTTCCATCTAATTTATGGTTTCAAAGTAACTTACTCGCAGTTTGTCTTTTCTTTTCGTCGATCCTTTCGTCGTCGGGGCTTCTACGAGCCAATTTTTCTTCCATATTTCGTTACACGAGTAGCAAACGGAATAAAGATACTTTCGTTCTCACGAATTTTGGGCGAAATACCGTGATAGTGTGTTTCTAGTTACATTTCTGCGAAAAAAATTTGGAGCATGTTGTGACTTCGAAAGAAACGAGAAGACCACGTTTTATTCGCAACGTTATTTTTCTTTTCGCAGCGCTAAATTTTACGTTTCACATTACGAAGATAATTAAAGAAAAGTACGTGCATTTTTCCTAAGTATTACATAGAAATTCATAGTCTAGTTTTTAGTTTTTAATTGCAACATTTTTATCTGTCTCAGAAAAAAAAAAAAAAAAAAAATGTATTTCATCTAAAAGGGTGCTTCTAACTTTCGAGCAGGAGCGTGCGTACGTACGTTTTAACCCACCGAAGGGAATTTTGATAATTATCGAACGTTGAAACTCCGGTTCCAATTTTTTAATCAACATTCGCCCGTTCGTACGAAACAAGACTCTCTGCGCCTCTGTCTCTATTTGTTCACCTTGCACGATGTTTCCCGCGTTTCTTGCGTCTCTCGAGGATCTACGTGGATTTAACGTGATTGACGGCAAGGATTAACCGAATGAAACGTATGTCGCGGATTAAATTCCCCGGAAGTTTGAGAAACGAAAAAGCGAGAGGACAGATTCCGATTTTGGAAATGGAGCATCTTTGGCTCGGAAGGGGAACGTATGTTGGAGTATGTTGGAGTATGTTCGATCGTTTCTTTCGGTCAAAAGGAAATCAGCCCATCCACCAGATGAAACTTTACCTCTCGTGACCGAGAGGTCGCCTAGGATCTTTTCCTCTTATTTCGCGAACGATAATTTATTGCTAACGTTTGCGCTCGCTTTTTCACTGTGAAATTAGGATTCTGGGAATTTGGGAACAGAGAGCGCGCAGGATAGTTGCTCAAAGCCAGGTAGGATGTTTGACCTGCAGGTACGATCAACAGAACCCGCAGTTTACATAGGTGTGTAACATTAGCCGTCTCTGAGTAAATATGCATGCTTGTAGCACACCTGATTGAGTTACTCTATAAAGTCCAGGTGCTCGCGTGACGGTGTACCCCGTACCGTAAACGAAGCTGCAAAGAGTGAAAATCATTGTCCGCCTATTTGAAATTAAATCGCCCGTTATTGACGTTATGCGCGATCGATCTGGTGCGCGCGTACGTGTCGCGTCCTATTTCGTTGGAAAAACGGGCGAAAGAAATTCACACGCGTACCGCCCCGTGCATACGTGTACGTGCCGTGTGCATTGTTACGTTTCCTTTTCATAAAATATCGAAGCACTTTTTGAATTTATCCGGCTCGTTCGTTTCATATTCCCTCTCGCGCGTTTCAATTCAACGAAAGCAACGGCATTTGACGTTGAATTGTTACGTACGCTTGGTAAACACAAGGTCGTTATCAACACTGAGAGCTAAGTCTCGTTAACCATTCCTAACAGGCGAATACGAAGCATCCTAGCATTGGATTTGATGCCTTGTTCGAGAATTTCTATTACCTACGTGATGTCTGGAGACATTTGCTAACCCGAGCGATACACAGTCAGATAACACGCGAACGAGAGGTTCGCTTGAAGGACTGGCGGAAGGACGTCGGGGGCAATGCTACCAAATGTTTCACAATGTACACCGACCCATGTATGTACCAATTTAGCACGCACATACACGTTTACCCGCTTCTGCCGCGTTCGCGTCTTCTGCTGCTACATTATTTATGATTCGACGTTTCTCATTATCGTTGTGTTCTTTTCTAGCACACCTCTCTCTCTCTCTCTCTCTCTCTCTCTCTCTCTGTCTCTCTCTCTGTATGTATGTCTGTCATTTGTATCATAAGAAGAATTTAGCAACCGCGCAGCACGATCGATATGTAAAATTGGCTGTTTTTATTCCGAATAGCTTCTAACAGGGCGCGATCGATATGTAGGTTAACGAATTGACGAATTTTCTTTTTAGCAGAAACTACTTAGCAGCTTACGGGCAGCCTGTAAAAGATTCAAAGATTCAAATACGCGGCTGAGCTCCGCGTGAAATCCTCTGTCGTAACTTCGCTTGCGCGTAAATTTCATTCTTCCCTTTACGCTGTCCGATGTAAATCGCCGCCTGTTAATTCCTTCATACGCCACGTAGTTAAATACTTTATTGTGCACTGGGCGAGTAAAAACGTGAAACGTAATATCTTCGCGTAGAATCGAAGCGTGTAATATCGTACTTGGCAAAGTGCAAGGGAAGGACGCCGTGGATCACACGTACGGTAAGCCGGGCCAGTTTATTAGACGTCCCGCTGCGATCTTTATTAGCCTTCTCTGTTCCCCTCATAAACGGGGAAGTTGTGCGTGCACCGATATTTGAATTTGCGTAGTCTAACGTATATAAACTTGACAGGAGCCCGCAGCGTACATCAAAGTTCAGGCACCTAGAGCGCGTTCGTTTCTCACTATGTGGCAGTTTATGTCCGTGACAAGAAGCGCCATGTGGTTAATTTCACGAACACGAGTCAAAGGGTTTCGTAGGTTTCCGTTTAATGAAAGTATTTTTGCCGTTAGAAAGCTGTTTCGTTCATTAACGAGCAAGTAACGCTCTAGATAATCTAATCTCGTAAAATTGTGGAATCTACGCGAAAGATATCGTAATAAAAAGAGAAGGAAAAACGCTTAGAATTGTTGCACAGATGTTAGAAAGTAGAATTTGATCTTTTTTTTTTTTTTTTGATTGTTTGATAGTATCGAACAACTTTTAACGTAAACGTTCGGGATTTTGTACACGGAAAAGACGTAGAAACTAGAAAGTTGACGTCGCGATAGTTCGATATGGTACGCTTGGTAATGGTAAATTGTGAAACACGGGCCTACGAATTTTGGTTTATAAACCGACTATGAGCGCACAGGGAATAGGTAAAAGCGAGTTCATCACTAAATCATGATGCTTTTACCCAGCAGCTTCGTCACTTGTTCGTTCCAATTCTATTTCCCTTCTTATTTGCTTTCTTCGCGCGTTCTTGCATCCCCCCTGTCTGTTATCTGCTGGCGAAGAAGTAGGAAAAGAGACGGTGATAGTCGTCGTATTCGTAGTCCTTTGAGACAGCTTCCTTCCGCCTGCGTTTCCCTTTGCGTTTCACTGTTTTTTTCTTTTTTCTTTTTTTACTTTTTTTTCTGTATCCAGTTCCGTGGTATGTGCCGCGTCGTAGACACGTTTATGTTCAACATATTGATATTAGTTTCTCGGAGGATGAGGCGAGAGTACGAAAGAGGCCACCCCTATCTTTGGAATCAGGTCAGAGGAGGGTGTTGCAAAATTGAATCGTTCGGTGGAAGCCGCGAGCTTCTCCATTAGTTCCCGGTTAATCTAATTTTTATGCTCGTGCGATCAATTTTCGAACAATTTTCGTCGTAATTCTTGATCTGGTCGGCGTGAAACTCACAGAGGAGCAAGGTTGCTGTCCTGCCTGAAATGCAGAAACAACGATTAGCAGTGTCGTGACATGTTTCATTATATTGTACGTGTCCTACTCCAAATTTTAACAACCTGATGTAATATTTTAGTACTCAGTGGCATCCAAAAACAGCATTTCACGATCTGAAGGGACGTGAAGGGCTTTTAGCACAATACCAAGACAACGTTCTTTCTTAACCGAGTGTGTATCGCAGTGGATTGATAAGTCTAAAACAGCGGTGCGTGTATAGCTTGCTATTTATTGAGAAATTACCTTTTCTGGGAATATAAAAGAGCTGCTTGTACAAAGGTGGGCCAGATGCGTTAACAGACAAAGGGACTACGTTAAAAAAAATATCGTTGTTGTAAGAGCGATAACGTTGTTATTTTAACAGATTTTACGATTACGCTGCTGATAATTATTTTATCGTTGCACGTCGACCGAACGAATGAAAAAGAAAAAGAAAAAAAAAAGAAAGGAAGGAAAATAAAAGGATACAGTCATGTCCTGTGGTTGAAGCGTAATTCTTTGAAATACGAATGATTCGATAGCTCGGTTAAATTATTCGTTCAAAGCACGACGAGTAAGTTAGGTACAGAATAAAATCCCGCGGCAGCGTAGCTCGGATAATGGCTCGGTGGTTTGGAGGAAAGCGATGGAAACTGCGGAAGTATGTTTTCCTTTTATTTCCGTTACGACGGCGGTGACAGCGCAACGGCAAAATAGCCGCCTTCGGCAATCGCACGATAAACACTACTCCATTCTTCCTTCTCTTATCCCCGTTTCTTTTCTTCTGTTTCTTGCTTTCGTTCTTCCTTGCCTCATTTCGCTTGGGCCGCGATTGGAAAATCGAACGGAGCCTCGCAGCTTTTTGCCTGAAAAGTACAGGACAGTGATGATTGAAATGTTTGTTAGTCTGTTGTTTCGTGGCGGGCGTCGGATATATTATTACATACGTTTACGTCGACAGCGAATCAGAATTGCGAGGGAAAACTGAAGAAGAACTTGACGTGCAGAAAGTACCTGTCTGATCCGGATAATTTAAACAAAAAAAAAAAAAAAAAAAGAAAAGTAAAAATAAAAGGCGAGAAGAAAGAGAAACTTCTGTTAACTCAAAATCAAGAAAATAATCTTGCTACGTGATCACTTTTTAAATATAATCTGCCCTGGAAACAGAAGCGTATTTATGAAAAAATTCTGTTCCACAGTTTTCACTCATCTCCATTTCGTAAAATATTCTGTCCAATTTGGAATTGGCCAAATTCAAATGTACTTGACTAATTTTCATACTTTTGTTTTTCTCAGACGTCTAAACGGAAAAATCTTTGATTTATTACTCCCTGCTAGTACCATGATCGCAAAGATACACTTGTACGTTTTTAATTGGTTGTGGAGCTTTTCTTAAGGTATTCCTACGAAGAAATCTAAACGAAAGCTCAATTCAATTTTATTATTACGGCGGTGCTCCACAATATTGAAAGGATTCACGACGGATCTTTAGATCCGTCGGTCTTTGAAACATTTTTATTAAACACGCGGTTCTTCCGCGTAGCAGAATCACTCAGACATTCCTCCCTTCCCCTAAGTTCTGGAGTAAATTCCGATCTGTTCCTCATAGATCTTTCACCGGAAAGCATCCTCGCTTTCCTTTCCTTTCTAGCTCTTCTGGGTACGATATTCCAATTCTTCAAAGCGGTGCAACATCAGATTGCTCGCCATCCCTATTCTCTCTCTCTCTCTCTCTCTCTCTCTCTCTCTCCCACGTCAAACAATCAAACCGATAACCGATAACTACGTGACTTCCATCGCTAGCTATCTCTAAGCGATCAGCACTTTCACTCACTGCGCATAGCCTAAGTTCCCATAAACTGTTTGAAAACAGAATGGGATTTAACTACAAGGATCGGTTTCGCGGATTTTTGTGCAAATTCAGATTTTTCAATGTACGATTAATTTTCAACTCTAGGTTAACTTTCTTCTTTTCGTTGTATTTCCAATCGAAATTGACCCGACTCGGTCAAAGACTTCGATTGGATGGCAAAGAACGCAGAATACCAGCGGTCAGAAATTCGACAGTCGTTGGACCCGTTGCCGACTGATCCAAATTTTGACACTCCAAAGCAGAAATCTGTATCGAAGGAGAGAAGCGCTACCGTTTAAATTTAGTTGCAGAGACTGCAGCAGGGAAGGTCTTACTGACCTTAGGGAGAGGAAGCTCCGAGTAGCTTTTGCGCACTTACATTTTCTAGGTGGTAAGGCTTTATGGCAACAGGCATCATAAAATGGATACAAAGAGACTATATTGCCTCTGGTATGAGGCTAGGGAAGCCAGGGCGGAGACGTGAATCTGCATATGGAACGTGCATTAAGTAGTTTCTTCAGCGTTTAATTTAATACCCTCGGCCACAATGGGGAGGAGGGACTGCGACGACGAAAACGTCTCAACGTCCCGTTTCTATCAACGTACCGGCAGGTTTATACGTCTTGCAGTTTCGGCATCCAGTTGCCATCTCAATGTTCCTTATACTGCCAACTAGCACTGTACACGATAGCCCATTATCATCGAGATTTTGATTATTCCGCGGGGAACGTGTATATAGTTTCCGCGGCACGATACTGGAAACACTATTATCCAAAGTTTGCCGGGGGGGCTCGAGCCTCGTTACCATTGAATTAATTCCGTTAGTTCTTGATTGGGAGATTTCTTTCTTTTTTTTTTTTTTTTTTTGCTCGTAGAACCTCCTCTCCCCTGAAGAGATCATGCGAAGGCATTAAATATTCAGGGATCTGGAACCAGGTCGGGCGATTTTCCTCTTTTTATTATTCCTCTTATCGTATTTCGATTCTCCCATTATTTTTATCTTCCTTTCATTCGCGTAGTTATTTCTTGCTCGTCTATTTCCTCGGTTTCCAGATGGTTCCTCCCCACAGTCGAGACGCTTTTAGAAAAATCGAAGTTGCGTCGCGGATTCCACTGGCCGATCCCTTTGGACGTGTTTTAATTTTTCCAAACGCAAATGAAATATTGGTGCAAATAATAAATGTACAATGTCTGGAGAAGCTGCTTCGTATTGTCATCTCGAGTTATCATTCCTGCAAGTTCGACTACATTGGTACTTAGAAATACACCTAAGAAAGAGTGAAATCGTCATCCGACAGGCACGTTCTGTCGCTATCGGTAGTTTGTTAAAGGGGCAAATTCGGTCGG